TTTGAGCGCGTATTGGCATATACTGTATGGTATTCGGAGTCCTGGTCCTAACTTGTATATTGGATGAAGCACTAAAATTACTAAAATTCATGGGCATGCGACTCATCATTCGATGATTGGGCATTACTCCATGCAATCCACTTGGTCCGTCCCGTCCTATTCCACCGTTGGCTGAATTAAAACTTCCGCACATTTTTGGATTAAGTAAACGTTGTCCCATAGAACCCAACATAGAATTAATATGACAGTTATTAGACATAAACGGTACGGGACCACTCATATGGGGGGGCATTCCCATATTACCAGATGGGCCAGCATTACAGGGGTCTAATCCCGTATCTATTGAAGCCATCATGGTTTCTAAATTTTGGTTTACATTATTCGGAACGTTTACATCATTCACTGCAATGACGCCCATATTTCCGACTCCTCCGCCATTCCCCGCATTTAGTGGCACGCAACTTGTGAGCTGCTGAGACATCTGAGCTAATGACGATATTGGATCAAAAGTATGATTCAATTTATTCTGCGTTGGCCGGTTACTATTAGGATTTAAAGGGAGGTTGTCGGTGCGACGATTGAACTGTGAAGGAACTGGAGCTGAATTTTGGCGCTAAAATGCAAGGTTATCAATTAAAATAAATAATTTGGGGCGATTGTTAATTTATTATACTTCAATTTGGCCCGGTCCTTTATAGCTGTTGACACCACTATTAGAGCTTGTCGCGGTGGGCATAGGTTGCGGAAAATTTAAGCCTGGGCTGGCTGAAAGGAAACGACCGTCCATATTTCCAGCATCAGCAATATTACCATTATTTGATCCTATCAAAGGAGTCCGTGACCTTTGTGGACTGGGACGCGTATTTTTTAAATCACCTGTTAAAACGTATGAAAATATTAGCTATATATATTTATTCAAAATAGTTTATATATACCTGCTTGTACATTTGTATGAAATGAATCAAGATCTTTAGGTGATAAGTGTGATAATGGAGTACTGGGATTACTATTGAATTGGCTCATTTGATTATTACGATTTCTATTCCCAATTGTATTTGTAGTACTGTTATTAGTGCCAGTGCTTGTTGGCGAACCTTCAGATGGGAAATTATTCTTACTTTGACCATTTGCATTTGATATTGCTGTACTGACTGTTGATGTTGCTGCCGTTACTGCCAGTGTTGTTGGCATAGTAGGCACATGCACGTCCATATTTGGTGAGTTTGCCGTTATTCCTAATGCCCCTGTTGTTCGAGGTGACGGTAACGATAAATTTGACGTCGGGTTATTAGGACTAGCTGGATTTGGAGACTGTGTTGCAATGGGTACCGACGCCGAACGCTGTGTAGGATGATATGGTGGGGGTGGGCCTTGTGTTGAACGAATACTTTGACAGCTGCTTGCAGTTACAGTTTGTGCACCTGATCCGCTTATATTTGGTCGCATGCTTCCAGAATTTGAACGACAAAGTGATGCTGGCATACATCCGACATCGTTTTGTCCCTGTCCCTTGTTACCTTTAATACGTTCCTCAAAAAACTGATGTTGTAATTTGGACCACTCCATCTGTGCCATACCTGCCTGAGCCATTTCCTGAGAACCCAATCCAATTGGCCCAATTATTTTGACAGAATTGCTATTTAAATTGCCTTCTCCAATAAAATTATTTATAATTTCAGGTGAATTCGGCATAAGTCCACCAGCACCAGTGATGTTACTATTTACCGTATTATTTCCGCCGGTGTGACAAGTTAATGAACTTCTGGTGATATTGCTTACAGTAACACTAGAAGGGACGATACCAACAATTCCATTACGTCCACATTGCATACTCGATTGATTGTTCATGTGCATTGATTTATTTGTCAAATTATTTATCTCATGGGTACTGAGAATGTCTGGTGGAGCAATGTTCCCATCACCTAATGTTGCTGGCATATTTTCGGGATTGCATATATTGTGAGTATTTGCATTCATTACATTTGACGCCATATGTCGGACGTTAGGATTGAGTTGATTAGTTATTTGTGGTCCAATACCAACCGAACCTGTATTAGGTAAATTCAGCATTAGGCCGGCAAGATTAGCTGGTACACCATCTGAGTTCAATTTTCCCAGTTGACCTGCTCCTTGAAGAGGGTTAGACAAAAATTTATCTATTTGCTTTAGTTTGGCTAACTGTTCTTCGCGATGCTGACGTTGTTGTGGTGTTAAATTTTCATCGGGTACTTTAATTCCTTGTAGTGAAGGCGTACTATTATCGTTATTCACACTCGCCCCTTCGGGGGCAGCAAGGGATTTATTAACAGCATGGGAACCGCCATCTACGACTCCATCGACACCATTTGTAATTTTTAAAGCTGTATGACCGTCGTTAGATGTTCCTTCCATATTATTTCTCCCCTGCTCCCAACACATTAATTCGTTTTCACTACTATTTAAATTTTCCGAGACGTCATTAAAATTAGGAATATTGGACTGTCGAAGAGATAGTTTGCTTTCCAAATTGCCGGCCATAGTCGAAAAATTTATTTTATTGACATTGGGTTTTTGAGTAAGTTTTGGTAGTGCATTGCATCCTCCAACCCATTGTTGACCGGAACCTACTGATATGTTGCACAAATTTTGGCGCTGCAATTTAGATATTTTCATAGGATTTTTTATAAAGAAATCTTCAAGAAAGTCCTTTGTTGCTGGTTGTGTGCAATGGTATGCTATTATTGTTGGAAACTGACCACTCAAAACTGATTCAGCACCCTTATTTGCCAATTGGGTTGAAAACACAAATATATGATTTTGTTGCTGCATATACTCCATACAATTTGAAATTGATCCACTATTTATTACATTTCCTGACGAATGATGTGATCCGCCAACGCAAGAGTCGGTTGATGTGTTAACAAGGGCGGTAGTAGTATCAGATACAGAAATTGAATCTTCTGCGCATCCGCTAGATCCATTATTCATAGAACCCAACATAGAAACTATTTTTTCGTGGTTATTAGAATTCGTGCTGTTATTGTTAGAATTAGTAACCGTCTTCGTGTTGGCTACATCTTCTTGTTTTACTAAACATGTCAAGAAAACACAATGCAAGAATTCGGAAAGAAAAAAATATATATTCGAATCGATATAATATATCTTTACCTGGTTTGCCTGGTGTGCAAGATCTGACATCCACTGTGTTACTGCCAGACAAGTTGGCAATCGAACCAAAACCAGCCGGAGATATGTCTGGTGAAACAATACCCTCTTCTTTCTTTACGTTCATTAAATTATTCATACCAATTGTTTCTTCTTTTGCAGAAGACAATGAGCTTATTGCCGTTGTTTTGCACTGAACACTTTTCGTTGAAGATCCCGTAAGAACACTTTTTTCCACAGAAGACTTTACACCTAAAATTATTAATATTACTAATAATAAGAAACGAATTGTTATAATATAATTACGCACCAGTGTCATCTTCTTTCACAGTAGCTAAATTATTCATGTTTGACTTCTTTTTATTATCACATTTTTCTGGTTTGTTAAGATCATGAAGAATATCTGCATTACTTTCTTTAGCTTGTGACAAATTTGATGAAATGTTACTACTATTCGAAAGATCACTACCATTATTTGGTGAGGAAGCATTCACTGTGTTAGGACCCGACTTAATGGTACTATTGGAATTTTGACGCATAATTGGTGTAGATGTGGTAGTGGATATAGTAGGACAATCTCTATCGCGCTTAACAGCAGTATCTATTGCAGCAGCACTAGCCCCATTTAAGTTGTTGTTATTATGCGTTTCGTCTAACATATTCTTACTATTAACGCTGTCTGCAAATAGAAAATTAAAACACTGTAAAATTTATAATGAAAAAAAATATTTGCTTTTCATATCACGCGCGATCTTCGAAGGCCAAATGCTCTCCACTATTGCAGAGATTCCGTGGATAAAACCCAATACAAAAAAAATCAATTTGAAGATTTTGTTGTTGCAGCGGTAGAAAACATTCCTGAAGTAATTTCGAACAATAGTGGGGTGATTTTTAGAAACCTTACATTTTTTCAGGTTAGTTTCTTCTTTTCTCAGAATTCTGCTTTCTAACCAGAAAAAAGTACAACATATTCTACCCTCCTGAAAAATATATATAAATACTGGTCCACTTAATTTCATTAGAATATCACAAAAAAAATTCGCGAAAGATAAGTAGTTTAAGATCAGCTGAAAAGCCAGTGGGAAACCAATATACAGTATATCTATACAAGTATTTAAAGGAAGGTCTGAGTGATTGCATTAACTTTTGGCATTACTAAAGTACTTGTATAGTCGTGTATTTCTAAGAAATTTTGTTAAGATAAGTCGCACTGCGACTGATATATTCAACATAAAGTGTGCTAGAATAATGAAAACCATTAATTAATTAGCCAGATCGTGTTCAAAATTTTTTAAAGTTTTTCAAGAATATTCCTTGTGTTTTTAATATTTCCTAGTGAAAAATTTATACCAAGTTCTTCGAGTGTTATACTTAGGCATCATTGGTTTTAATTAACATACTTTGCATGTGTCATAAACACATTAACCATGGGTGTCGTTCGACTACAGATTACCAAATTGTACTTATCGTCCGAATATCCTATTGCAAGCAATTGAGTCTGTCGTAATTTTTTGTCTATTATCGAATCCTACCAACTATTATTATAGTAAGTACAAATGTTAATACGAATTTTGGAGTAGTAATGTATTGAATATCTAAGACAAAATTGTAAAAATCCCTCGATCTAATCTCACCAATTCAATTGCGACATTGTTTTGACATATCGGATCTTAAAGTTTGCCCGTTTCTCCGCGAGAAGCTGCCCATTTGTCGAAATTGTCTGGATCGGACCATGACAGCTGCCACACAAACTGAACGATCAAAATCGTATATACTATATGTAAAACTTTTTTATATAAAGATACTTTCAGGGAATTTGGATTGGATTACTATACTGAACGATCAAAATAAAGTTTTTTTAAGTGGAATCTTCTCGAAATTTAACACTTATTATTTCCCAAGGCAACGGTAAAATATTCAAAGGAATTGTTTAAATGGAAAAATATATAAGGAGTAAAAGAGTCTATTTGGGAAATCGCTGAGGTGCAAATAAAGCCAACGCAGCTCGAAAAAGAATTGTGAGAGTCTAATGCGTTTACGCAAAAATAAAAAAAAATTTATTTAAGAAGTATCGTAAAGAAACTGTGGTCTATAATGTTAAATTGTGGTCAAAACTACATAAGTATGTGGGAATTCGAACTCGTTCAGCGCATGGGTAATATACAATTACAAAATACTAAAAAAGATAATGTAGCTAACGATATATGTACATAATGAAGTTTATTTCAAAATAAACTTACCATTAAGCGGCGACAGTGTTGAAAAGGGTTCACATTTAATATTTTTAATACTGTTAGTGGGTGATGATGCATTGCTGACAAGTAGCACTCCTCCTGTAGTAGTAGTTGGAGGTGTCTGCTGATTGTTATTGCTCGATGATGATAGCATATTATCGCAACGGTTATTTAAAACAATGTCTCTTTGTTGAATCTGTTGCTTATTATGGTGATATGTATCATTTAAAAATGGAAGTAAAGGACTATCAATTGGTGATCTTGTTCCGGATGATGTTGGAGACTTTATTAAACTTTTTGTCTTTAAATCACCAGCGTAATTAGTAACGGTTGCTTCAGATAGCGGTGATAGTCTTGAGGAATCCTTAAATCCTAAAACATTGAATGGCGATGAGGATTTGGAAGAAATATGTGCCGCAATGGACTCAAGTGTTACTGTACTAGAAGACGTCTCAACAGATGGCGATATTATTTCGAACGACTCTGACGTTTTGGCTTCGTTAGTATTTAGTTTGATTGCTGTCTTTGATGGTGTGTTCATAGCTGAAAATTTTGATTATTTTTTGCTGGCATTCAGTTTCATAGTTACGTAGAGCCTTCCAGAAACACTACCATAAACTAAAAAAATAAGTAAATATAGCTACTTAATTTTTAGATTTAAATGAATATGTGTGAGTGTACACTAACAATTCACTAAATTGCTTCCAAACTCCCATATATCTACCGTTCACCTTTTTAATTAAGGCTATAAAGAATTTTCAGAGCTTTTTTATTACATACCATCTATGAAAATTCTATAAAGGCTCACTTAAAAAGCGATCTCGAGAGGTATTAATGATAGATTAATGACCTCGGACCTTTTTTGTAGCAAGCAAAATTTAATACAAGTTTGTCACGAACATTTTTTCTGTAGCTCGTGGAAAAATCAGGTTAAGAGGCCTGTACTACCTCGTCGGTGTGTTTTCGACTTTGTCGCAGTGGGCACTTTTGTAGAGATCAATTTTTCAGGGAATTTTTTTTTAGGTTAAAAGTGGTCATGCCGACAAAATATTAAAAATACAAAAATTCGTATGCTCAACTGAATCTGCGAAATATATTGCATATATTTATATTATATTTTTTATATATGTATATAACATTTTTTTTAACTTTACTTATTGTACAAAATTATAAATTCAAAAATTATAATGCATATATTTATTATAGGCGAAGAAAATATATTTTAAGTACATTGTATGTTACCGTTATTTTTAATAACTTCTTGTAAACGTTTCTGCATTGAATGAACTAATTTTTTCGTAACATCTGAATTAATTTTCATCCATTCTTCAAGAAGTATTTGCTTTAGCCCATTTTTTAATAAAACATTGTGTTATCGAACTCTTCTATTCAAGTGGTCCCATAAATGTTCGATCGGATTGAGATCGGAGGATTGAGGTGAAGTTTTCAAAGTGTGAGGAGTGTTGTACAATACCCATAATCGAACAAATTCTGCTGTATGGTTGGGGTCGTTGTGATGCTGAAAGTGGTAGCCGTTCTCTATTCCAAGTTTTTGAGCACTGTTTTTAAACTTTCTTTAAGAATATTCAAATAAAGTGTTTTGTCCATTATTTCATCAATAAACACAAGCTCTCTAAATCCAGATGCTGAAAACACCCCCGTGTTTTACTGTTGGGTAAATATTTTTTTCTGACAATGCTTCGCCCATCTGACTTGTATAGAGAAAATTTGCTTTCAACAGAGAATATTACTTTCTCCCGAAAGTCTGTCGGCTTCTTTACCTTTTTTTTGCGAATAAAAGTCGGTTTCTTTGGTTCATCTTACTTATCATTGGGTTTTTGCGACAAACTCGTGCATTGTACCCAGTACTATTTAGCGCTCTACGAACAGTCCGAGGATAAACAACCATACCAACGTCTTCCTTCAGAGTATCATCTATCTTCGATGATGGTTTTTTGGGATTTATTTTTATTATCTTCACTACCTCCCGTTTGTCCCGATCTGATAACGCAAGTGGTCTTCCACTTCTCGTTTGATACTCACAACCTGGGTCATTTTTGAACCGATTTATAATACCAGTAATTGTTGTTGTTGTTTTTGTAGCGGCAGAATTCTGCCGAGTGGACAGTCCTTGGCCGGACAAAAATCTGGGTCCGTTCCGGTTTTCGTAGACCCGACTGTCGTGGGAACGGACCAGTAATTGTGGTATGGGGCCGTTGAACTACTTCACATATTTCCGGAAGTTTTTTGAAACGGTCGTTTCTTTTCTTTTTTGACTCATTTCTTATTTATTCGCAACGTTTTAAAGCTTTCTCACAAAAATAGTTGTACTTTATTGTGACAGATCATTTTTAAAGTTACCATATTGCATGAAATTGGTTGTTGTAGAAGCTAAGGTGCCCAAATTATTTTTATTTGTATTCTATTGTTACTAAAATATAAGGAATGCATTGCCGGTGACTTTTGTCCATAAGATACATGTACTTTAAGGTAAGTGTTATTGTTTTTGTAAATAAGGCAAAACATAAAACTGTATTCTCTTGTATGTGAATGAAAACTGCCGCGAGGTAGACGAGCAAATATAGGTCGGGGAACGCGTAATTCAAATGATGTGGCATTACGAAGACTATCGCAGACTGTGGAGGAACGCGCACAAACAATGAAACGCTAAGAATATTGGCTGATATTATCCTGTTGAAGATATAAATGGATCCTTTTTATCAAGAGTCACGATAAGTTTGTCCTCTTTTTTGATCGACGGCGAGTTTCAACATTATTTCTAAACTTTGGGCCATTCTGAACGTAATACAATGAACGGCCTAATGTTTTAGCGATATTCCTAAGTCCTTGGACTTCATTTCAGAGGTTTATGACGATTTCCTTTTCCTCCGCACCGCAATTTTTTTTTCTATCCATCTATACAATTTTTTCGTTTTAAATGCGTTTTAAACATGGAGTTATACAACAGAAAGAGCAAACCATTAAAACAAATCGTCTGATTTGCTGAAAATCTTAAAATAATTAGCAATTTACTTATTATTCTGACCACTTAGAAACATGAGCATCAACAATCAATTGCACGCGCACCAAAAAAGGGGGGATTCAATATTTTCTTTTTACTATAAAAGGTATTACGATATCGAATTCAATAAAGTCAACCTGTGGTTGCATTCGCGTACTTCACCAAACATTCAAAATTCAATCATAACTGCAGCCTAAAGCAATGTACATATTATTTTGACCATATTTGTATATATCACTCATTGACCGACATTTTCGATCTAAAGTTAACTATATATAGGGGTCTAAATATTCGGTACTAAAGGTCTTATATTTTTATTGGATTTGAATAATTTTTAGTCATAAGTTGGTACCCACTAAAGACATTATTCGCGCAAGGTTTTATTCCAATATTAATTGCTTCTTTGATTTATGTACTGGAAACTGAACAAATCAATTGAATTTTATAATTGTGCTATATGGGAAGTAGACGTGGTTGTTGTCCGATTTCATTCATTTCAGTGGGATACAAAAATGGCAAAAGAATGCTACGTACTAAGCTTAGTAGAAATCAGTGTGACGGGTCCAGAGATATGGGATTTCACCAAAAAGTGGGCGGTGCCACGACCATCAATCACACCGGCTTCCATAAAGATATCTCATTGCATATCGGAAGTAAAATTTAATGTCTCTGTTGTATTTAGTTATTGATTTATTCCACCTTTAGTACTTTTTAACATTGCCGTTATATGGGGAGTGAGCGGGGTTATCCTCCGATTCCACCCATTTTCACACTGTTGGTAGAAGTTCTTATAAAATTTGTACTCAGTAAATTTGGTTGTTGTAGCTTAAGTGGTTTAGGAGATATGTACATTAAACTTACTAGAGGGCGCGTCATGCCCACTTAAAAGCAAAAATGCATACCAAGTTTCGTCGAGATATCTCAATTTTTACTCAAGTTATAGCTTGCACGGACGGACGGACAGTCAGAGAGTCAACCGGATTTCAACTTTTCGCGTCACCCTGATCATTTATATATACATAACCCTATTTCCATTTTTTTTTTAGGTGATACGTACAACCATTATGTGAACAAAACTACTCCCTAGCAATTGGTGGCAAGAGTATAAAAATGTTTTATTACAGTGAAATTGTTTAATATTATCAGAGTTTTACTTATTTGTGTTTTTTAAATACTTGAGAACACTTTATATACAGCCTTCGCCAAAAGTATTAGGCACCCCATTAAAATACAAGTATTCTCAAATGTGGCGATCAAAGTTAGCACTTCTTTTTGTAAATGCCTTACATGAGTGTTTAACTCTTGATTAAACGAATAAATTGTGTAATATTAAAAGTCATAGCACTCTGGGTAAGCTAAAACTAAAAATGGTCATTTTTAAGAAATTCATAAAATATTTTCGCATTTAAAATTTGAAAGTGAAAGTGTAAATTACATTTAGTGAAAAGTTACCAATCTTACAAAAACAGTTCATATTTACCGAAATGCCTAAAAAAAGTGAAATTAGTTACGATGATAGTTCAAGTTTTAAGTGAAGAAGGTAAGTCCCAGGTTGAGATTGCCTATTTGGTGGGATGTTCGCTGTGCGTGGTCCAATGTGCTATCAGACGATTTGTGGAGACGAAATCCGACAATAATAAATCAAAAAGTGGAAGAAAACGTCTAAGCAGTAAACGAGAAGACTGAATACTTATAAGCGAGTCTCTCAAGGATCGCTAAAAATCTTCTTCTGCCCTTGCAGCTGTCCTTTCGGATGAGAGTTAGTTAGTGCTCGAACAGCTAGAAGAAGACTTCTGGAAGCAGGTTTAAAAGGATGTAAAGCCCGAAAGAAGCCGTGGCTCTCAGAAATGAATAGGAAAAATCGTTTGCTTAGTTTAGATCGTCTTAAAGAATTAACAGCCATAGCTTCTTACCCTAAGCAATTTTGAAGACATAATACAAATCTTATGAAAACATTATTTTTCTTTTCTATAGATATTTGGAACACCTGGTGCGACGTTCGTGAGGCGACGAGTTGGGGAAGAATATCATCCAGATTTCGTGGTACCCACTGTTAAGCATGGAGGAGGCAGTATTATAATCTGGGGCTGCATGGCTGCTGATGGTGTCGGCGAAATGTTCGTTTGCGACGGTCGCATGAATAGTCAAAAGTACATAAATGTATTAGAAGCTGTTTTACTGCCTTCGTTAACGCGCATTTTCGGCGATACTAATTTAGACGGGGTTCAATTTCAACAAGACAATGTTCCTTGTCACAAATCAGCGACTGCGATGCAGTCTCCAGATCTTAATACCATTGAGCACATGTGGGCTATTTTAAAACGGAAGATTAAGGAACACAGTGTAACATCAAAAACTACCTTAAAGAATGCCTTAATTAACGAGTGGCACGCTATAAGTACGAACTAATGTGCAAAGCTTGTACGCAGCATGCCTAAGAGAATTGCTGCCGTTATTAAATCGAAGGGTGGACCTACTAAATATTAATGTTATTATCACTAATTCATTGTATTTTCACTATTTTACTAATAAAACTTCATTATTTCACTTGTTAAAAAAAAAATTCAGTAATTAGTGGGGTGCCTAATACTTTTGG